ATTCAACATTCATGTTAGATATTAAACTCCTTGACTATCGGATGCTAGGATTAGTAGAGATGGCTATCATCACCTCACCTTTGTTGTGAATTTCAAGACTTGCACTGCAGAGGTGAATGGCTATTTCCAGAGTTTAAAATGTGGAGCTAACAGACCTACTGATCAGTTTTATCACGACCACTTTTACACTAGTGCTGAGGCATGACTAGGGATATGTGTAGGGAAGAAGGGCTCCCCATTCATACCCACATCTGACTGCAAAAATGTAGATTCCAAAAGGTTCCATGTGGACATGTGGCTCCACACAGATTCTCACCCATATGCTGGGAGCAGCAGATCTTATTTCTTCCAAAACTTGTATAGGATTGTGCTTTTAGTGTGCAAAATGAATCCACATAAGGAAAATATGAAGAACCCAAGGTGGCTTACATAGTTCCATTCTACTCTCACAACAACCTGTCTGGTAAGTCAGGCTGAGAGTCTGTGACTGGCCCAAAGTCACCCAGTTGGCTCCACGGCCAAGTGGGGGCTAGAAACCAGATCTCCCAGGTTCCCAGCCCAACACTCCAGCCATCACACCATTTGTATTTTGCTTTCTACCCCTTCATGGCATGTTGATGAGTGAGACATTATCTGAATTGTCATGTAGTTCAGAATAGAGTGACTTTAATCTGTATTTCACACATAGTATTTGGGGTGGGTGCAGCAGGACATCTAATTATGCTATCTTTTAATGCCACACTATGGCACAAGTTCATGAAAAAGAAACATCCATGGCTCATTAAATAGTAGGCCAGTTGATTGCAACAGAGCTCCTGTTCAGCATTCTTACAAAAAACTGAAAATGAAAACTAGAACAGAAAAAATAAGATGTTATTTTTATGAAAGTAGTCACAAGAAAAAGGAGGATGAATAATCAAGTTTATTGTAGCAGTGAGTCCTTCATTTAAGAATGGCTTTTTATCTTCCAGATAAGACCCAGCTGGTATACTGAAGGGCCCGAGGCAGGCTTTGCTGTCATCTGAGGCACAGTGCTAAAAGGAATTCATAATCATAATCGTTTAAAAGGATTTTACACACCATGCATTGCATTTGGTGCAGCATCTTTAAAATGATGCTAATAATTCCCCAGCTTATGCACAAGGGTGTTCAAGAGACAAAAGAATTGGAAAGATAAAAGCTCCCTGTAAGACGCCATGCACAGAACTGTCAAATGCAGTGAACCTGATGTGCAAGGACACTGAATACAAGAGAGCTGTTTTCTCTATATGTTCAATGAAAATGCCATTGAATATGATGGAAAGCTGATTTAGGGTACAATCAGCCGCCCAGTGAGCTCTGTGTCCAGGTGGAGGCTAGAAACCAGATCTCTTAGGTTCCTAGTTCAACACTCTAGTCACCACACCATACTCCAATTCCACTTGGATTTATATTATATTATAATTTAAACAGGACTATGTGTTTGATGACAAATATCAGCTCAAGAGCCCATATGATACCTAGTCTATATAAATTGCAGAGGCCTGATTTAAAGTGCTTGTTTTAACATATACAACCCTGAACAGCTTGGGACCTGAAGGACCACCTTTTCCCATATATACTCCCCCACACACCCATTGCTATCTGGGCATGTGGTCCTTCTGAAAGAGCCATCCTTAAAGGAAATGAGAGGGATGGCAAATAGAAGAAGGGCTTTCTCAGTGGCTCTCCCCTACCATTGGAATTGACTTCCTAGAGGCGTTTGCCAGGTGCCATCTCTACTTTCATTTCAGCACCAAACACAGGATGTCCTTTTTTGTAGGCATTTTGAAATCTGATTTTAAGATCTCTTGCACTACTAGGAGGGCTGTGTGTGTGTGTGTGTGTGTGTGTGTGTGTGTGTGTGTTTGGAATTGTAATGTTTTGTTTTGTATTTTATTATTCCATGCTGCTGAGAGAGTCCTGTCAGGTTATTCAGCAGCCTAGAGATTTATAAATAAATAAATATTTTGAATAGAAGTTAGTTAAATTTAAAACAATATTTACTGCCAAAGCAAGACTGCCAAAAGAACAGTCTAGAGCAGTGGTTTTCAACCATCGGTCTCCAGACCAGTGTGGGAGATTTCCTGCCAGTCCGTGGTGTGGGGGTGGACTGCATCCTACTTGCTACGGACTGGTGTGGGGGCTGGCTGTGCTCTACCATCTCTTCCTTGGTTGGCATCATGTTCGTGGGGGTGTGCTGCTCCTGCTGGGGGGGCTAGGGAGGGGAGAGACAGCTTGGTGTGAGCTAGCTGGAACCCATGCTGCATCAATTTTGGTATTTTGTTCTTTTGTTGGCATTTTTTGTTGCTTGGTTTCTAGTTGTTCTGGAGAACTCCCTCTCTCTGGCATTATGTTTAGAAACTAATACATAGAATACTGTATTATGTGTATGGTGCTTTTTGTTTCTGCCTCAAAGGTCCTGGTCCCCATGTGGTTTTCCTGTTTTCGCCAGTCCCCAGCTATGGAAAGGTTGAAAATCACTGGTCTAGAGCAGCCTGTCTCAGTCTGGTGCCCTTCAGGTGTGTTGATTTCAGCTCTCACCAACGCCAACTAGCAGGCTTAATGCTCAGGAATCCTGGGTTTTGCAGTTCAAAATATCCTGAGGCATCAGGCTAAGGAAAGCTATTCTAGAATGAAGAGCTCTAGAATGAACAGCTTCACATGGTGTATCTCTATCTCAAATGGACATCCATATACACTCAAATGTACAGATTTTACACATCAAGTCTATTTTTACCACCTGCACTTCTACAAGAAAGAGGAAAAGAAACATTAGTTAGAGACTAATTCATACACAACATTAAGGTGATGCTAAGCCTAAGGAATATTTGTTGAGCAATCACTTTTTAATGTATGTTTGCGCATGCACACATAAAGAGGCATTCAGTCACAATAGGGAAATTTAAATATGAGCATTAACTAGAAAAATGACTGAAGAAATACAAACTGACTAATAATACAATCACTTCAAGTGTGCAGCATGAGAGCCAAGTAGAGGAATGGCTGGTAGTTCAGTATCTCTTTCAACATCATCTCACATGCAGACGGACCATAATAGGCAAGGGACAAGTCTGGGAGAGAGGACAGGTGATGAATTATGTGCTGATCTGACCTTATGCCCAAACATGTAGGACCTCCATTCCCAATTACTCCTGCAAAGCTTGGCTCCTTAGGGTCAAACTAGACATGATGTAACATTCTTGTGTAATTGAAACAGGCAGCCGCATGAAACCCTAAGGGGGGGGGGGGGAGTGGATTTAACCCTTATGCTGCTGTCCCCTTTCTCACATGCAGGGCGGTACCCATCAGTCTTTCTAGCTTGGTCAAATACAAACTCTAGAGGAGAGATTATTTTCAGCACCACAGTCCCCCTCTGGCTCCCCAGTTGCTTTGCATAAAAGAAAATTCCTTCAGGCATTCCAATAATGACACATCTGGTTTGACCATTAGGAATATTCCTTTGCCACAGGTGCAGGCTTTGGGAGCATTCAGAAGTAATTTTTGCAAAGATTCAGCAATAAGGTTCATTGGGCTCAGTGGCACTTATCCCCAGGTAAGCATGCACAGGGGCAAAGCCCTAATTTGTGCATAATTAACTTCAGTCACACATGGCTAACTCTGAAGCACATCTGCTTCTCTAAACAACGTAGTACATGTGAACAAAACTTCCCTCCTTTTCATCAATTAAACATGCTGACAACAGCCTGTGCAAGTAAAACAAGCAGGGGTCTCACTTTAGGGACTGCAAACTGAGCTTTCCTGTCAAGTGTCAAATCTAACTGCTAGCAAATCACATAAACTGTGTTGACAGATCAAGCAGGCAAAGCACAATACAGACCACGAAAGATTTAAATATAATTAGGAAATTTTAATCCTTTAGCACAGCAGACCCTATGACCTAATTTGAATGACACAATACCCTACCATGGATTCTTCCAGCCTAGCTGGTGATACACGCAAAGCAGCTGCTCCGCCACGGAGCCACAGACCCTCCCAAATCCTCAAGCCATTGTGCTAGTTTCATGCTATTCTCCCCTACCGCCCCCACACACCCACCATGTGGGATTTGTAGAAGAAAGAATAGGAAAGCCTGCAGCAGTTTCTGCCTAAACAGCAAGCACTGCCAGTCATATGTGACCTCATGTCCATAACCTCCAACCAGCCATGAACTGTCACAACATTGGGAATTAATCCTCAAATAGCCTCTCTCACTTTTTTATAATTTTGGATGAAGCTGCAAACAGCACATAATGGATATGAGACACTCAGTATTAAGGCTGAGTGAAATATTTGACTATTTTGATTCTGACACTTGAAGCTATTGCTTTCGGCAAGGCTGGGAACCTTCTTTTAAAATGCAGGCATCCGATGGAGCAGAAGGGGAAGAGCTTATTATGTCTGAGGCAGTTTTGAAGTCTGGAGTGATGAAGCTTCCAAGTAAGCCCTCAAAATGGACCACACATTGCTCTAGCAAAGATAAGATTTGGGTGCTTCCCTAAATGGGCATTTTGAGTTATGTAATGCTTAACTGGAAGAATCTTCTAGTGAGTCCTTTTGGGACTTATTCAGAGAACGTAAAGGACAAAACAAAACTGTAGGAATGAAGGGATTTTGGTTCAACCATTTCTGAACCTCTCAAGTACCATTTGGCATCCAGCTTGAGACCATCCTTTCCTACCTGATGCCTGTTCTGTTTTGGACTTCAGCTCCCATCAGCCCTAAGGAGTCTGGCCAGTTATCAGGAATTTGGGAGTTGTTGATCCAAAACATCTGGCAAGCACAAGGTTGGGAATGGCTGCTCTGGATCAAAAAGACTAGAGTCCAGTGAAATGGCCTGAGAAATCAGACAAGTGAATAAGAGAGAGAAAAGATCCATCTCTACAGTGGGAAAAGAGGGGGAAACACAGTGGCTGCTATGGCCAAAGCCATGACAATTTAAAATAGCACACCAGATTACGAAGTGGGCTGTCAACACTTACATTTCATTTGCTTGGAGATAGACTTGTTGGGCTCAAGCCAGTGCTGAAAAGAAGAGGAAAGACAAGGTTGAAGTATTCCACAGGACATTACTTATTTACCGTCACAAGGTCATAATAAACGGAGTAGCAGTTTGCATGCCAGCTGTGATTTCTATTGTGTTTTATGTCAACAGTTTCAAAGGGATGCTAATACCTGTGGAAGGATAGTGGGAAAGCACCACTTGAACATGAAAGGCATAGCTAATGTGATCACAAAACACACAATGGGTGCATTTAAGTGTGTTCAAAGCCTGATCACTGGGGGAAAGGAATAGACAGACTCTGGTCTACTATGGAGCAACCAGAGTTTACTGTGGTGAAACTGAAAAAAAAAAATTCAGCTTCTTAATACAGTAAGGGCAAAGTCCTATGCATGTTCAGACAAAAAAAAAAAAAAATCCTACAACTCCAAGCTGGAGAATACTGCGAGTTTGGAGACTTTTTTATCTAAAAATTCATAGTATTACATCCTAAAATAGACAGAGCTACTTTAATACAGCAAGTATCTGATGGATGACCTTTATTAAGAGAGGACAGGAGATTACTAATTCTACTTGGTCTCTCATCAGCTTTTGATGCCACTGACCATGTCTCTTTCTGAATTGATTCCATGGGTCAGGGATTGGAGGCCCCGTGTTACAGTGGTTCTGCTTTCACCTGCAGGGTCAATTTCAGAAAGTAACTATTCCTTATACCACTTAGCATCTGTATGAAGTTGCTGGGTTCAGTCATTAGGAGATCTAATGGCTCCAAGTGCCACCACTGTGCTGATGACACACAGCTCTACCTCCCTGTGCCTCCTGAGCCACAAGAAGTGTCTGTACAAGTCTTAGATCAGTGTCTTGACCCCGACAAGGGCTGGATGAGGGCCAATAAACTGATGCTGAATTCTGGCAAGATGGAAGTCCTATGGTTGAGCAGTTCTCAAGTCTGGGAGAAAGGTCTGCTAGTTCAAAAAGGGGTTACACTCCCTGTGAAAGGTCAGGTTCATAGTCTAGGGCTAGTCCTACATCCTTTGCTGTCACCCAAGTCCCAAGTGTGGAGTGCCTTTTACCATTTGGTTCACCAACTATGCCCTCTCCTAGGCAGGAACAGCTTGGCTACAGTGACACAGCCGCTGGTAAACTCAAGTCAGGTTTACTGAAAGGGGCTCTATGTTTGACTCCCCTTAAGGCTGCTTCTGAAGCTGGAGCTAGTGCAGAAGGCAGCAGCAGATGATACAGGAATGGCTACCAGGTCACATTTAAGATTTAAGATCAGGGCCAGCGTAGCTGAGAAAGTACCTTCTCCTTTACCACTCACTAAGGTAATCAGAGGGCATCCTCCTGGTGGTTCCCCGTGCACCCGTGGCCTGACAAGAGTCCGCCCAAAGAAGAACCTTCAGTGTATTGGCCCCATTTCTATCCTTATTCTTGGAAGCCATCCTTCTTGCAGCCATAGCCTCAATGTTTTTAATCTATTGTTTTTATTAATCTATTTTTAATACTCTGCTGTAACATTCAGTACTCCAGGATCTGCATGAATGTGGATCAGTATACAAATACTCTAAATAAATATATAGATAAATATCATACTTCTAGATATTTATTAAGCATTTTATGTTATGTTATGTTATTTATTTGTCCTTCCTGCAAAGAGTACAGGGTGGCTTAAAATGTTTTCCCACATCTATGCATACATTTCATCCTCACAAGAACTCTGTGAGATAAGGCTAGGCCAACAGAGTGTAAGAAGCTATGCTAGGATAGATCTCTAAATTTTATTTAATAATCACTCTGATAGCAGAGGTTAATGATAGGGAAAGAGGTATGCTGACACGCAAGCACTATTTTTATATGGTCAGTAGAATTCGCATTCAATTTTTTTTTCTTGTAAGCAAAGCATCTCCATAATTAAAAGTACTATCTTTCCCACAGAAGCACCTGTCAGAAACCATGCTGTCCAAGCTTTCCTAAGCACATAATTTAGTTTTTTGCAGACCCAAGTAACATTCTCATTAACCCATTCCATGCTAGAGTAAATGGTATCCAAGAGTAAAAGAACATAGGAAAAGGTAATATTAATGTTCTTTGCATTTCTGTTTCCCCTGTAATTATTATGTCACACAATAGCTCAATTACTTATGCACACTTTTATATTCCACTGGAATGAATTGAACAGGATAAATGCATCAATAGGAGTCATCTGTGATAGTACTGAAGACCAAAGACATTGACGATGACGTCCTTTACCCACTAGCGTGAACTCAACTAGACTTGCTTCAGAGGAGACACAGTTAGGAATCCAGAGTTAAAGAATCTGTTATTCCTACAGCAAAATGACCTCTGTATTTTCCTTTACTAGGATGCAATTGCACCTGCAGTACAGTATCCCTTTGCTTGCTGAGTTCTGAACTGTAATGCTCCTCACGTTCTAAGCATTCATCCCTGATCAGCATTTTAATGTTCCTGAATAGCTATTTACCAGGACAGGTGCCCTCGTGATTATTCACAGCACTGAGCAGGCCTATTTGTTATGCAAACCTCCAGAGCAGAAAACTGCAAGCTTGGAAAGGTTATTTCACATAGCTTGGAAGACACTGAAACACACACACACACACATCATTGAGCAAGACTGTCATACGTCCTGTTATTATGGTGTGCCTTATCTCTCTCTGTATTCTGTTTTAACATCTAGCTTGTACTTTCTAGTTATTTTGTTCCTTTGCATTAACCAAGGGAAACCTTTGGGCTGTGGGCCACAGAAAATTTGGGACCCCGCACAGGCCTCATCTCATGCCTAAGGCCCATTTCCTAGTGCTCTATCATGGGCTCGGGAAAGTTGCAGGGTCCTATTATCTCTGATCAATGACTGAAGGTAATAGCTGCATTCCCTTAGTGTGCCACATACCTGCCCAATTGTGCTTTGCCCACATCACATTTCCTCCCATTGGGAATGACATGGTTGAAGGGGCCCTGACACTTTTAGCTAGGGAATGATGATGCAACAGGGGGTGGCTTGCATTTACATACAGAAGAGTAGCCAGTTCCCATTATATCACCCAGCGCAGCGCACAGAGGGCTTGGAGGGTGCAGCCCCTTACACTTATACTCAATTCCCCATCTCTGCTCTGTGTGTGTGTGTGTGTGTGTGTGTGTGTGTGTGGAAGCACAGGGGCTGGGAGTGGGTAGCAAAGAAACACAGATTTGAATATATTGCTTCAGATCATCATAGGGCTCTCACAAGATTGCTAATCCGATCCCCCTCATTAAAAACTGATTGTGAATTTCTACCAAGAAGGAAATGCACAGAATTTTTTTCCTGGCAAGTTACAGGCAATTTAGATGAGGCCACTTTGCCTCAAGGGCAGCACTATGAACTTAATGCTGAATCTCCTCTGCCATTCTGGCATCTAGTCTGCAGGTTCAGTCAGAACCTTTTGGAACATTTCGGTCTGCCTGAGAATTTACCATCCTATATAATTTAGTCCCGTCTGCAGATTTGGCTGCCTTCAGTAATTATCCATTGCCCTAGGATACTGAAATATTTTACAGTACTAGGATATTGCAATGCTGAATGATTTCAGTTATTTCAAAGAGCTTTTTGCTACAATTAGAGATCAGGACAAGAGTTTTACTAGAAGGTTGGTGCCTTCCCCCCTTTTCGCATGTGAATACAACAAAGAACACCAGCAACCCTAGTCTATCTCATCTGCCTGAATGAAACCCCCTTTTATACCATATACCGCTTTGGCATAAAAGTCTTTAGTTTGCTTGGATTAAAGACAATGGCTTTTTAAAGCACTTCAGAATATTATTCCTGCACATCTCATGCAGCACGGTAGCTTGCCTGCTTTGTAAAGAAGATTCCTAACATCTAAAAGTATCCCTTTGTTCCCTAAATTAGCAAGCACAAAATAAATCTGAATTCAAATTGCTTCTTGGATTTGGGAATGAGTCAAGTATGTTGTAATAGCTGCATCATGCCTTCTTTGCAAACTTAGAATATACCCTAACTTAATATGGGGGATGCATTCTAGAAAGATGCTTTAGAAGAGCAAGAAAATCCCATCATAAATCACAACTATCATAATAGATTGGTCACTTGGTGGGAACTCAGTAGTTTCTTATTGCAGCCCTACTTGCAACACTGCAAGAGTTACTTCTCAGAATCTATGTTGCACTGTGGCTTTTCAAATGGATGATGATAGTGGTGGTGGTGGTGGTGACTTAAGGTTTTCAGGGTAATTGTTGTTTCTCACATTTTTGGCAGTACAAATATGCAGTGGCCAGTGAAATTACCAGGCATATTTAAACACAGTCATCATAAAGACTAACCTATTTGTTGTGGTATAAACCAGGCTTTGCTCTTTCTCCTTCATGGATCACTGCCTTGTCATGGCGAAGGGACTTGTGTAGCTCAATGAAGCTATGAGCTATGCCGTGCAGGGCCACCCAAGACAGACAGATCATACCAGAGAGCTCTGACAAAACGTGATCCACTGGAGAAGGAAATGGCAACCCACTTCAGTATCTTTGCCATGAAAACCCCATGGACAGTACCAAAAGGCAAAAGGAAATGACACCGGAAGATGAGCCCCTCAGGTCGGAAGGTGTCCAATATGCTACTGGGGAAGAGCAGAGGGCTAGTACTAGTAACGCCAGAAAGAATGAAGCGACTGGGTCAAAGCCAAAAGGACACTTAGTTGCAGATGTATCTGGTGGTGAAAGGAGAGTCTGATGCTGTAAAGATCTATACTCCATAGGAACCTGGAATATAAGATCCATGAATCAAGGCAAGCTGGATGTGGTCAAACAAGAGATGACAAGACTGAACATCGACATCTTAGGAATCAGTGAACTAAAATGGACAGGAATGGGTTAATTTAATTCAGATGACCATCAGATATACTACTGCGGCAAGAATCCCTCAGAAGAAATGGAGTAGCCTTCATAGTCAATAAAAGAGCAGGAAAAGCAGTACTGGGATACAATCTCCAAAATGACAGAATGATCTCAGTTCGAA